TTGTTTATCCTGAGTTACTTTACTGTTTTGTGCAAGTCATCCCCCTGAAATCAGATCTTGTCATTTTAAAACATGTTTTGGTGTTGAGCTTAAGCAAAAAAACAGCTTCAAAATCAGAAGTGTGGGAGTGTCTTGTTTTGTTGTTTTTTTGTGTTCTTGTTCAAACTGGAAAAGCTCTTCACAAATCATGATGTATTGATGTCAGTGGTAGAAGGGGTCTAACATTAGCCTGTCTTGTTATCACGACTCCTGTCTCTGTTCCACCAAAAGGGCTGAAAACAGAGACTCACCTGCAGACAGTTGATAAGTGGTTTAACTTCCTACCTATTTCTAAAGAGAATGGAAAACAATCTTAAGCAAACTATGGCAAACTGCTAGTGTTTCTAATGCTACAGCCACATCAAAGTGCCATAATATTCCTGTGTGTACACTTACGAGGAAAAAAGGGTTATGAAAAAGCATCTGAATAAGCTGTAATTATTTTCTAGTCCTAAAAATGATTAACCACAATTTCAAGGTCTGAAGTCTGAAGGACTGCATTAGTAAAATGTCATGTCATGACTCCTTTAATGTCTTTTTACTGGTATTTATATAATTAAATGGATACAATGAAATGTAAATCAGACAAACACTTTTACTTTATTCACAAACGTGTTTCCAACCCCTTTTTACTCTATTTCCCTTAGATAGTTATCACAAAAACCACTTGTCTTTAGATGACACCTAAATATAAAATTCATCACACGTGTGTTTTAATTTTAATATAAATCTATCTGTTCCGTGAAGTCCTTAGTGTTTTGTTAAGAGAACATTTTTGAACAGGCAGCATCATGAAGATCTATAGGGGTGTCAATCATTGCTACTATAAGGGACCTGAAAAGGATGGTAGAAACTTTTAGCATGACAGATATTAGTAATAACAATAAAAATCTGGTATTTCTTGAAGGAAAAGAAGCTTTTTGACCTATATATAGTGTGTAAGTTTACAGTAGTTTGAAAACCTTTGCAAGGCACTGTATGATTGCATGTAGGTGTTTCAAATTTGATATACTCCATTCAAAAATCAACTCTGCTTTGTTTATGTTTGGGGAAAATCAGTAGACCTATTTTTATTGCAACACTGTCACTTATGCTCTGACTGTGTTGCATAAGGATTTTGAAAGCAAAAAAACCCCCCGACCAAACCGATCTGAAAACCAGACATTACAAATATGGTATTTCCTCAAAATTAAGGAGACCCACTTGTTAGTTCACAGACATCCAGGAGTCCAGAAGCCACACCTATGAGTTGATGCTGTGTGCCTGGCTTGAGATAGATAAGAAATACTTAGTAATAATCCTCCAACAACCTGCTATCTCAGTACTAAGGTCTATTGCATCTCTTAATGTGCAGGACAGAGTCCCTGAAAGTGTTCCACTGTCATTGCTCTTTGCCATAGAAGACTACAAGTGTGGGCAGTTGTTGAAATATGTCTCCTTGGAAACATTATGATTTGCTCCGGTGTGTGCTCAGAGAAGTCAAACACAATTATGAACAAAGGAGTGTTGGTTTGCAGCAGCCCAGACTGAAATTAGTTCTGCTTTTTAGCAATTGTAGAAACATGGAGGTAAAAAGCAAAGGTGCATATCTCAGCCAGTTATGCTGATCTTAACGCCTGTCTGGGCCGGGACCAGGCTCTGCATGGCGGCATGCTGAAAAGTAGGAAATAGAAGACAATATTCCAACAGACGTTTAAGAGTCTATAGTAATTTAGTGACTTGTTCTACTTTCTTTATTTATTTTCTGCTCTTTTACTTGAAACTTTAGTTTTTTTAGTAACTGCAAGTAAATGTTCTTTTTATAGCTTCGTCAGGTTTTTGTCAGAATTACACCATATTTAATTCCACCTGTCATTCAATTGGCTCTGATTACCTTACCTACCCCTGCTTTGGAAAGTGAATAATAATAATAATACACCCCCTCAGCAAGATTCTGCCACGACCATGTTTCACTGTAGTGAAATTTAGTAATTTTGGTCTCATCTTAGCAAAGCATATTCTTCCCCATAAAGAATTTGCTTGTTGCAGCAAGCATGACTTCTAAGGTTCTGTTTTAACAAAAGCGTTCTTTCCACTTTTCTATAAAGGCCAGATTTATACAGTGCATAACAAATGCCTGTTTCTGTTGGCTGACCTGTGGACATCTACACTACTCTGTTTTCTGTTTATAAGGTATATATTTAAAGCTGCTTTGTGAAGGTTAAAATGCATTAAGGATTATATCAATAAGTGTAAAAAATGATACTACAATGCCCTCTATTTTGTGTAGATCTTATCTCTGACAAAAGGATACACAGTCCCTGCTCTGTCATGCCATATAACCCTGCTAAATGTTACATTATGAAGGTAATGGCATAGAAGAGTTGTAAAATTGACAGTAGCATTGATTAGACCTCTGATGGTTGACAAACTGCTTATTGTTATGAAATAACTGTTGAATAAAATACATCAAATTTAAATGAAATATTAAAGAAGCGGATATTCACAAATAAATTACTGAAATTATTAATAAAACATGCAGATTGCGTCTGCAATTCATTTGGTTAAAATATATTATTAGAATGGACTAGAAAATTAGAAATGCATTTATTTTTTTCTGTGAATATGTGTTCTTTTATTTTAAATATTTTTTATTGAGCAATGATTTTAATTGAAAAATAGGTATGATGTTAAAGCATCAATGATCTGACCACATGGACCTAAAACAGATCTTCTCAAAATGGTCTAAAACAAGCTGAAAATAAGGTTCAGTGGTTGATTTTAAGTACGCTGCTCTCTGTGTTTAAATTCCACTTCATCATCATCTGATGCCTTGTCAGTGCTAGCAGCCCAAGAGCATCCGACCGCATATTTCCAAGGTGAAAGTATTTTAGGCATTTCTACAGGGCTGTGAATCTTGAGGACAAAATGCATCCAAGATACAAGCTATGAACAGGCCCCTTTGGAAGCCCGATCTTAAGTGGGAACAGCTTGCAGGTTTTTTCCCTTTCTCTTTTGCAAAATTTCTTTGCTTCAGGTCTTTATTCTTTACTTGTTCTCAAACAATAATTCCCTGAGAGTATAGCTTGGGGGTGAAGAGGGTCGATCATCCCTTTCATCTGCAGGTGTGAGCTGCAGTAGTAGGCTGCCTCACTGCCTTAAAACATATGCAGCAAATTTCACTTGACATTCAGTCTGCCGCTGAACCAATACAAAAGAGAGATTGCAAGGCGCTGTGACAGAAATAGATAATAAAACACAGCTATTACTTTGAAGTCTGTTATTTTAAACTTGTTTTTAGCTCCCAGAGATCCACTAAAGACATTACCTCTTCTTGAGTTCATGGTGAAAAACTGGCTTGGTTATTTCAAACTTGTTTAGCAACTTAAAACTGGTTTGGGAATTTATTTCTACAAACAAAAATATAAAAAAAAATATAGATGTGGTGTTTTTGTGCATTTTAAACCCCATTCCTTCTACCACTAAATAGCAACATCCTCGACACACCGTCCCCACTTTGAAGCACGGTGGCGCCAGGATCATGCAGTGGGGATTATTTTATTTAGGGAACATCATATTAAGATCAATATAGTGCAAACCTTAAAAAGAAACATTTTGGAGGCTCCCTTTATGTAAAAGCAGCAGAAGGAAAGCCATTGTTGGAAGAGAGCCACGTCCCATTGAAGTTTGTCCAACATGTGGAAGGTGCTCTGGTCAGATGAGATCACAACAAAACTTTGTGGCCTGCATTTATGTGTGGTGTAAGGCTACAAAAAACTAAAAACTTTGACACTAACCTGCTGTTTACTAATGCAAACCATATGGAGATAAAGGCAGGTCAATCCTGGAAGAAAATCTGGCTGTAAAAGAATTGAAACAACTATGTGACAACAACCCTGACTCTAGCACCAAAGCTATGATGGAATGGGCTAGATAAATAGTTCTCTAACCCTTTCCTCAAGTACCACAGCCCTGCATGTTTTACATGTCTCCCTGTTGCCACACATCTGATTTAAATCAATTTCCTAATTCTTCAAGAGCCTTGACGTAATGGAAAAGTCTGTTAATCATTCTGAGTCTAAAACACGCAGACCAGTGATGCTAGAGGAACAGGATTGACAACCACTAGTCTAGATCTAGACTAGATCAAATCACATTCATGGATTTTCTTCCAATTAAAAATGATACTCTTTTCTGTTAGTCAATTACAAGATTTTAAAAACCTAGAAAGAGTCACTGCATTTTTTCTGCTTGAGGGTTTTATGATAAGGAAATAAAAAATTGCAATAAGCGAATGAAGAATTTTCCTCTTTAGGATGTTTATTTGTGGTAAATGATGTGATAAAGGTATGTTGCTTTCTACCCAACGAGCAAAAATAAAATGTATCTATAGAATTGTAAAGATTGGTTGTTCTATTATTCTGTATTTGATTCTAAAGCGAATCATTTCATAACAATTTGTTGGTTATTGTAGACTGAAAGTCTGAGGGCTACCACCAGGCCGCTAAATGATGAAGTGTATCATTTTGTCGTTATAGCTTCACAATTTTCTTTTTTTAAGTTTTACTTTGTTACTTTACTGAGCCTAAACGGCTGCCATTTTCTCTTTTTATCAACAATGTAATAAACTAATTCTGTCCAAATATGTCCTCTTCAGACCCAATCCTGCCAGAGGCTATTGAGAATAATATTTAAGATATTGATAGCAAAATGATCTGGATGTTCCCCTTAGGGAAAAAATTAAAACAACTCTAAAGAATAACATTTTTTTTGTGGGCTATTGTTAACGAGATATTGAAGCTCTGTAGCAGAAGGTTGCAAACTTTTTGTCTCATTAAAACTTGAGATTACAATGTGACAAATATATAGAAGTTTGAATTTGAAAATGTTGCAAGGATGTGTTTTAATGTATGGATTTTCTTCTTCTATGAGATGAGGATGTCTCCATAACCTGGTATGTCTCTGTGTCTTTCATCCTGCAGGAGGTGCTGCCTGCTATTTTCACCCGTCACACTGTCAGGAGAGCTCATGGCCTTCGGTCAGCAGCCCACCCCACGCTCTTCACCCAGACTCCCACTGCCCTGTCTCCACGGGTTAGTGATTCTGTACACGTATGGTCGTCTATATCTGTGGTTTGCTGAGAGAAATTAAATATGCAAACGGATTACTCATCGTTTAGATTATTGATTTCTCTGCCAATTAACAAACCTGAATGAAAATCAGTGTCTTATTGACCTGTTGACGGTTGACAGTGATAAGCTGCAGCATTGCCAGGTTTTTTTTATTTTGTCAGAGTTTCATCATTATTGCAGTTCCTTTTATAAAGGTAATTAAGGAAGTTTGCCAAAATGTTTGCCTTATGGTTTGGGAAGCATTTCAGTCAGCTAAACATTTTAATGAGGGCTGAAACAATTAATCAGATTAATCGTTAGCAGTTATTATAGAAAAAAATGTAAAAAAAATATATAATTCTTTTTCTGCCAATATGCTCTACTCAGAAATCCTCAAGTGGAGGGGTTTTAGATTCAGCTGGTTTGATTTAGTAAAAATCTTTTTTAAGGAAGCTATGGCTAGCCATTTATTAATAGATTAATAAAAAAAATTATCAAAAGATTTATTGCAAAATAATCGTTAGTTGCAGCCCTAATTGTGATTTTGCCATTAAGAAACGGAGAGATCTCTTTGGTAGCTTTGATCATTTAGACCAGATAAAGGTCTAAAAATCACCTCTTGGTATTTTTAATCCACTGTTGCTGTTCATGTGTTTACTATTTTTTTTAAACTGATGCTTCAACAGTGTCTATTGGTGAAGCTAATAAAGTTTGATGTTTGTTCGAGACTTTGTTTTATAGACTTCTGTCCATGAAAGTCAGATAATATCCAAATATATTCAAATGATCCTCATCAGTGGTGTGTCCTCTTTGTCTGGTTTCCCATGGGTGTGTAGGGATGGGCTTCCTGTTTATCATCTAAAAAGGCCACAGATAGTTGACACATCGACGACAGGGATGTTAGATGCAAACTGTCTTACACTTAGGTTAAATTTTAGAAAACTGAATTCATCAATTTGAAGCTAAAGGTAGAATGAAATGTTGTTCCTGCATATATATATGTGTATATATATTTATGCACAAGACCCATCAGAACTAGTAGGGGATGAAAATTTTATGATGAATAGGATATTTGTTCCTTGAGTGCTTGCAGGTCTCAGGCTGTAGATATCAGTGCGATAACTCCTCTCTCAGCCAATGCAGGGCGTGCATAACCTTTGTTTGAGCTGCTGCATGTGTATTCATGTGTCACTGAGGGATTTGAAAATTGGATAAACCAGCGTTCGGGTCTGGACAGAGCAGGAGCAGATGCTCTGTAAGAGATCAGCAGCACTTTTCTGGGGATTGTTTACATTTTCTGAAGACTCTGAAAGGAGAAAGCAGCCAGAAAAGCATACATTACATACTTTGTCCAATAGTAAAAAAGTGTCTGCTGCAGACTCATGTTCCTGTTTACAATGGGATGAAATTACTGTACACAGCTGATGAGGAGCTTATCGGTGGGGTCCCGAACGTCTCTCCTGGTGCTGTGTTTCTTCCTAACGTGAGCTGTTTATGCAGAGGGCAAGGAAGGAAGGAAGGGAGGAAGGAGAGACGCGAGGCTCAGCAGGGAGAGGGTGCCTTGCCAGGTCCTCTTCCCTCAGTTGGGTAGCTGGTAACTGAGGATGATAGTGTCGTAACAGGATTACCTGGAAGAAGCAGATATGCTATACACAGGCTTTGTATGAATAATAAAGAAGCCTTAAACCCCTCTCACAATACGCGTTCTGCAATGTTGAGGTTGTTTTTTTTATATTTCAGGCTCCTCTTCATTTCTTATTCCTGCACTGCTGCAGTACAGTTTCATCCTCTCCTCCTTTGCACTCCCTCCTTCTCTCGCTCCCCCTTTCAGCAATCCTCAGTTTATCCGCAGCTTCACTCGTGCTCCTATGGGTCACGGCTGCGCTCCTCTTACCCGCACAGGGCCAAACTCTGCCGGGGCACATCTCTTGCATAAACTTCTCGTTGCGCCTGCAGCCCAGAATGCAGTGACAGTTGTCAAATGTCACATTTCAAAGCGACATGGAGACAAGACAGAAATCTCAATGAGGAAGATATGGAGATGTTTGTTTTTCTCTGGAGCTGAGCCATGGGGTACCTGGGAAAACAGAGAGGATTTGTCCATCATGTCAGGATTTATTGCTCTTTCTTACAACTTGGATCAAAGTTTCCATAAACTACTTATAGGTTTAACTATTATGTAAGATTTGAAGTACAAGATTTAAACAGATGACCAATAACTGCTGCTAATTTTCCTTAGAATTAAGAAATTAAAATAAACTCTTGCAGAGAAGCTTCACCCTTCTGCAGCCATCTAAAGGCTTGTGGCATTATTCAGTCTGAATATTTGATCACCCTTCTTATCAGATATGATAAAGCTCGTTCTAAATGGTTGGTTTCCTGACCGATCCATACTATTTCAATAGGGTGACCTTGATGCCTTTCCAGAGGCTTAATCAAGCCTACTTTATGTATCTCAAATACCATTTTGATGTGTGTTGGGGATCCAACCAGAACAACCAGTCCTATCCAAGTTTAAACCATGCAGCTGCTGATTTAAGGAGAGGTTAGTGAACTTGACAGGATTCCCCCTCTTCCTCTATTAATCGATCTACTTGGACACTGCGCCTTTTGCTTTGATCAGTAAAGCAGTACCTCAGCATGATGTTGCCACCACCAAATTTAAGCTGCGATATTCAGGTAAGCTTAAATGTGTTCTTGCCACATTCTAAGTATATGTTTTCATGGAGTCCCTTAGCTTTGGACAGTGAGGACATCAGATATTGGCTTTAAATTCATAGCGAAAAAGAGACACACAAACTATTTAATAACTAAACACCCAGCTGCTTAAGTTTACTTCTTTTGCAGCCTATTAATCCCTGAAGTGCTGTTGCAGGAAGAACTGCGGTTTAAAGTTTGACTTCTCTGATGGCTTCATAAAGAAAAACACTTGACATTGACCTGTCATCCCACATGCAACAGTCTCCCCATCTATGTCAAACATTTGTTTCAGTCCAAAGCACAAAGATGTGTATTTATAGAGCATCTCCCTCTCTTTGTGTTTCGATCGCTTACTCTCCTTTTATGGCATGCAGTCTCTTTAAGCTGCGACATCTATTTGGATCATAAACAGCCCAAATATGTAATTCATCACCCAAACAGCGAGACTTGGTTATTGAATTCCCTTTTGCCTTATTTGTTAGGGTTTTAAAGTCAGGAAGATTGAGTTGTTAATCTGTTTTTACGAGGGAGGAGAGCCCCGTAAAAGAAATTTTGAAGACTTGACCTTCAATAACTGAAGATCAACAGATTCGTGTTTTTTTTAATAACATTTCTCATTACATTTTTGTATTGTGCTATTTGGTAATGATGCTTTAGGAGTTGTTTTTTAAGCGTTTTTTTTAAATCAAAGACATGAAGTTCTCTCATCTGTCTGCTTTAATGATTTTTAAACTTTTGGTGCCAGACTTGCTGGGCTTTAATTAACTCTGTGCCTAATTAGGACGTTAAGCTCCTTCGTCTGTAATTTCCTGTTTTTAGTGAGAGTTCATTGTCATTGCTACTGTTATCAGATTTTGAAGTGCCAGCTGTCAGCAGTGAGGACAAGAGCTGAAAAGCCTGAGTTTGAAGTTTTGAAGGTTTCATGTCAGTGTGGGGATGCTAACTCAGATTATCAGACAGACGGCCCGTTGACTGAAGGTAAATAAAGACGGCATGGGAGCTGATCTTGCTTAGTAATGTAGAGAAGCAGGTAGGAGGATGATGTTCATGATGTGAGGAAGAACATCTTTGCATTAGGTTCCCCTAGAGAACATCTTATGATGGCCCCAAAACTTTCAGCACAGAAACTTCAAAGCGATTTCCAGGCCGAATGTGTGATGGAGAGAAAGTTTCCTGAATGATTCAAGTCTATGAAACTTTTTGAACAAAATACAATAGTCTGCCATTTTCTGTCAGAGCTCCATGTACTGGGAGAGGGCTATTGATCGTCTCACCCCAAACTTTTATTGATTGCCCACACAAGAAATCAACACTAACTTGGCTGAACAAAATAAGATAAATATATTTTAAACAAAATGCTTGTTGGGTTCAGCTAACGTCAATCTCTGGTGTCTCGAAAATATGAGAGGAATTAAATACCATGGAGGGGATTTTAGGAATTTAGAAGAGAGCAATGATTAAAGCAGGAGAGCTACCCTGAGGAGTCCTTTATATAGAAGCTGAACACGGGCCTGCTGATTAAATCTGTGAGCATCATCCTAATGGAGTCACATTCAGTTTTAATGAAAAATGAGATGCAGTTAATTGTTTTGAAGCATAATGAGTTGATGCGATTTGGTAGTAACGATAGGAACAGACGCTGAAAATAAACCTGTAAACATGTCAGCAGTCGTACAGAAACACAGCAGGAGATTACATGATTCATACTCACTGAGGAAAAATCTGGAGTTTCCTTTTCAGATGTATTTCAGTCCAAAAAAATATAATATTAAAATGTTTATTGCCCAGATTTAGGTTTTTCTTCCCCTCCTTCTGTCTAACCTCCCTTTCCATTGACCTATCTTTCACTGTTTCTTTCTCTTGTTCCTTCGTTGTATCTTCCTCTGTATTTTGCTCCACTTTAATTTCTTTAAAAAAAAAGATGAAGTTAGGAAATAACACTTTTTCCGTTATTATACCCCTGAGGGGTATTTTCTATTTTAAATTGAGAGGAGCAGAGGTGCCAGCGTTCCATAGATTAAAAGCTATCCACTGTAATACAGCATTTAACCCCATTTTCAAAAATGAATACAAAATGCTTTCAGATTTCACATTAGAAGCTGGTTTTAGCATCTTCTATTATCATGGTAAACATGACCAAAGACCTTTATTCCTAATATTCTAACATATCATTCTTTTTCCAAGTCAGTAAGAAATAGGATGCGCAATAAGAACCAAAACAACACCTTTACTCTGTTCAGCCTTCCTGTTATTGGCTTAAAGTTTTGCTGTCTCTCGCGTCC